GTTGATGCCTGGAGGCATGTGTGTGGCATTTTAGGCATGATTTTTTTTTTCTGTTAGAAATATACGCACCTATATCTGCAGACATTTTTGCAAGCGCGGGATACGTGCGGTTAGGATACGACGTGTGTCTGATTCAGAATTGAGGTCCTGCGTGACGTCCAGCGACCTCCCAGCTAGGTCTCATATATGAGTTCGAGAGCCTGGACAACTGAACATATGCCGATTCAGCGGGATTATGGATGCGGGTTTCCTCAAGATACTGGCGTGCCGCTAGGATGCGTATGTGCCATGGCCGAGCCCCGTCTACGCGCCGAACGTCATTGTCAGCATTGAGTGCTGTGAGCACCCGCATTGCGGCTCTTCTCCTCCCGAGATTCGTATCCGTTACCCGAGGGATACAAAAGTGATTATGCCCAAGACGCATCGACGACGAAGACACTCTACAGCTTTGAGCACGAGCCAACAGCAGGATTACGAGCTGCAAGTGCAAGTAAATCTGTTGAAGTCGTGGTATAATAGAAACAGCCCGAAGTGAAGGCCTTACGAACTGGAAATGAGCTGTGGTGAGAGGTTTGCTGACTGTAACCAACATCACATACCAAAATCAAACTGAAGTGTTGTTTCTCACGGCCCTCGATAAACGTGCAACTTCCTTCCCAGCCATTTGGACACCGCTCGTAATAGGGCGAATTGGCCTGTCGCGCGAATCATGGAGGATGAGCGCAGCATCAAGCGCATTGAATATGGGCGGGCGTCGAGGGCCGTCCTGAGTCCGAAGGCGGTAAGCGTCGGAACGTCGGCCGGACCGGCAGCCGAGCCCGGCGCCGGCGGTCGTTTTTTTGTCAGTCGCTCAATGATGTACTCGTTCAACTTCGAGTTGGTCGTTAATCCTAAGTCGTTGGGGGCGGTCTATCCTTCTCCCCGACGCCTTTTGATCTTGAACGGTTTTCTTACGTCCTATCCTACTGGGCACTGAGCTCACGTATGCCTTTCTCTTTCTTGGATTCTCTTTCTTGGACGTTGTCAGCAAGCGCCATGGGGTGAGTATATAGCCCAAAGTCGCACCTACAAGCTACCGACTGAACGTTGGAGACGAATCCGCGGAGAAGCTGTATGGAGATGTTGAAAGTACTGAGAATTGACGGAGTCTGGTAGAGAAGTTTGGCGAGCGAGCAGCAAGGCATTCAGGTGAGTTCTATGTATATGAATTTGTATTCAGCAATCTAGGCCTGCGTTGCCCTTTCATCGCTATGTGGTTAGTTGTGCTGCTAACTGAGTCTGAACGACTCACAGCGGGCCTTATGCTCAGTAGACCTTTTGTGTGGACTCTAAGCTCCTCGCAGCCTGTCTGATGTTCGCTGGATGTCAACCTCGACGGGGTGGGGGTCTTGCATGAACGGCCGGCTGCCATAGTTGAAACTCTTGACATTACACACTCTGTGTGCTGATTCATCTGTCTGGTTTTAAATTCTCATACATGGTTTCGAAACTCGCGAATCCGGGGTGCGTAGCATGACCTTGGGAACATCTACGGTCGTGGCGTTTGAAATCCTTGTGCTCGTTCTCTTGTCGACGACTTCGATCATGACCGGGATCACTGGCGAGCCCGTACTCGACGGCTTCATGTACTATGTGCGTATCAGCCGCATGCTAGAGCGCTCGAGCCGCGCGCACGGCCAGTCTAGCCTTGTTCTGAGGAACATTCTGAGCGGCTTTGATCATGAGAAACGCGCCCGTCATTTCCCGGTCTAGTTGATAGAGAACATATGGTAGACCCCATATCAGGCGTAAACCACTTCTCTTAACGCTCAAGTGTGAGAGTCGAAAAGTGGTATGTACGCTCGCTGTATGCCTTCAGCGCCGTGTTTAAGTGCTGAGCATAGAGAGTGAATATCATGAGGCGGCGCAGCACCAGTTGGGCCGGTATGTATAGGTCGTTGCGTTTGGGTGCCTGAATTTGATGAGTCCGGTAGTGTCAAGCACTTGTCCTTTGTGAGTGTGATGTTTGTATCTTTACTGCGATTTTAGCGGCTTCGTGTGGCGTAACTGTCATTGGTGAGCGCGAGGCGCCTATATACCATCTGCTGTCTTTCTCACCCAAACTCATAGCGTGGAGTGTCCAACTCGTTCAGCAGAAATTGTCCAGGTGCCATTGCCTCTACATGCCGTTTTATACTTATAGGCTTATTTCACCCGGATCAGTTTTGAATCGCGGGACTCGAGGAGTGCCTGACAGGCATTATTTCAAATGTTCAAACCCCTTTGTGTTCACGGTCCCGGCCAAATCCCGCTTCTCACCCTTGTCCCTAAAAATTTGCCGTCGGGATCTATTATCATGACCATCATTCCGCGAGACGGGGAAGATCGCTCACTCGGTGAAACATATAACATTCGTGTGAGGCACATTCGCATGTCCCCCGCCGACCAACCCGTCTGTGTTCTACAGTACAAAGCCGAGTGCGACAGGCGACAAGCTGGAGGCTGTCGGGCGCCTCCTTGATCAACTGGCTTTCGCGTTCGTGCCGTAATTTTAAACCTGTACATACGACTTTGTCGTCGCAAAAAGCAGCTCAATGGATCTCGCGAACACCTTCGGCGCAATCTTACTCGGAACATTCTTTGCAGCAATGTATGTTTTTATCCTTCTCCGCTTCCACATCAAGATTGGTCGCGCTGATGTGCCTGTCCTCAGCCTCTACGGAATCACAATCCTTCAGACATTCATTTATATTCAAAACAGCAAAAAGGATCCCCTATGGAGCAAGCTTGTCGTGTGCTACCTATGGTTTGAGTCATCTTGCAGCTCCAACTTTCCCATCACTGAATCCCATTTTACAGGGTCCTGGATACACTCCACATATCCTTTGCTATTCATGTAGTGTACTATTACCTCATTCTCAATTATTTTGATCCCCTCCAACTGTTGGACGTTGCATGGAGCTACAAGGTATCGTCTAAGTTTCTTTTCACTTAATGAAATACTTACGTTCGGTTCCAACGGTAGGCGCAAAATATAGTCGGCGTACGTCTTGGATATATTTTCATAAACGCGCCAGTGCTGATAATCAAACGGGAACCGCTGACTAGCCTATTTGTATCTCGTCTGTACAAACGTGAGTGATATACAGATTCGTCTCTCGTTCGCAGGTCTGAGAAAATCAAAACGTGCCCCAGGTTATACGTATTGCGTGTATGGAAACGTAAGTCTGTTGTAATTTGAGTATACCCCGTCATGGCGCTGATCGGACACACTATAGTCGACGCTGTTGTACATAGACAATCACGGTTCCGTTACTTGCTACCTGTCATTGTCGTAAGTCATCGACGCAATTTATAATCACAGCTCTTAGGCTAAATGAACTACAGACAATTCTTCTGTTTGGGGGATACGGTGAGTTGCCTCTACGTTATAAGTTTCCTATTTATCCGGTTCTGATATAAATACAGCGGGAAGTATAGGTAAGAGTGCACACATTATTCAAATCGCGCCTGTTCAATTGTCTCACTTTGTGTAGCATTTTGGTACGAGCTGTAAGTATCGATTACGTTATTCTGTGCTCCATGTCTGATAGCTGAATATCTAGTGTTCAACCGGCGAACGATTCTATCCTTCATCTGGAGGGCCTGAAGGTACGATCGTTTTTTATAACTTGGAACCTGACTCACTCACTGACATCTATGCACCCACACTAGTGGGTTACCTACGTGCCCTTGTCGCTTTGGAGCGGAGTAGATGTCACTATCGCCCTGTCCATGTCTTATCTCCTTGCGCGCTCGCGCACAGGTTTCCAGAGGTAGGCTAGTAGATCACCTGTCTTGGTCGAGTACTAAACCTTTCTATTCGCAGGTCGAATACCGTGATTGCAACAATCATGATGTTCACACTGAACACCGGTGCAATCACAAGGTATGTGCAATGAAAGTGTGCCTGCGGCAAGCGTTGAGCTACGATGCACAGTGTGCTATCTATCACGTCTATCATAGCCGTAAGTCCCTCTTGCCGAACTGGCTGACTGAGCACTGGAGTCATATTTACATCACAGAAGGCGGCGCTTCCTGGGGAGCTGGTGTTTATCGGTCTCCAATCTCCTCTAGTTCCATGTGCGTATCTCCCTGTCTGCCGCCTGTGTCAATCTGAGACTCATGGTGGCCTTCCATAGTACACACCAACTCGTTCATGGCGATGTAGGTGCCAAGCTACGCAAACGTGGTTCATGGCTAATCTCTGAGACTTCCACAGGTACAATGCACGACGATATCTGCGTAGCCGCCAGACCATGCAGAGTCGTCCCGGTGATTTCGTGCTTAATCACATGAACTCGTTCCCGTCCTCAGGCGTACACGAAAACAAGTCCGTGACGTTCTCAAGCAACGAATCCCGGCACTGCGAGAACACCGGTGGAGGGCTACGTACACCCATTGACGTTGCCTTCACACGGAGTATCGTGGTACACTACTCAGACAATGAGCCTCTGCACAGTCCAGCCGCGGAAACAGATGTAGTCAGTGTCCTGCTCAAATGTCTCTTGCGCGAGTATCCTCACTCGGTTTACTTTGTCAGAGCACTCTCGCCTGAGATGGACCTAGTCAGCTTGGCATTGTATAGATTAGTTGACTTCATGGAGGCGGCGAGGCCGTGTGCTGTGCTGGTCTTTTCATTAGTCTCCTGCGTGGTAGCCTTGTATATTCTACGACGAGTGTTGTATAGATTAGGGGAAGGAAAATGGCATGTGTTATCACTGACTCAATAGTTGGATTACAATTTTAATAATTCGAGTGGTCATGCTGGACGTTATTCGTAGCAACATATCTGTTCGTCCTCAAAGCGCCCTCAACAACCCGCTAGCCAGCTGGTGATGTAATGAGTGATCAGGTAGACTCGCGTACTCCCGAATATTGAGGCGACAAGTATTGGACTTTGTTTGAAAAGCGGTTTTGTTTCCGGCTAACCGATGAAATGGATCAACACGGCTGCCCTGTTGCATAGATGTCAGTTTTGATGATTAATTTCTATCCATTCAAGGTTGACCAGAGAAGAGTTGCTAACCGAAGAATCCCTTGTGCGCACAATTGTGGAAACCGTGAAGAAAGGCAGTTCCACCACTCATCTTGGGTCGGAACATGCTTCGTGTACTCCCTCCGCGTAAGATAGATAGCAGGCCGGAGCTCAACAGAAACGAGATTAAGGTTGAGATAGCTGGGGCCTGTCAACAGGTCATCAATTCGCCCGTAAAAGTTTCCGCCATTAGACGCAAGAAGGTCTTTAGGATCCGTGCGTGGATTCAATTCCGAGAGCAAGATCCTGATCTCACGAAGCTGTCGTGGAAGCATCCCAGATCCGATGGCACTCAGCCAGCCAACGAACTGCGCACGGGTGCTGACTGTGAGCACAAACACCTGAAGATTGACGTTCTGCATAAGTTTGATGTCGGATGCTGATAGGCCATCAGCACGGCGTGTGGCTATGGTATAGAAGACAAACCTTGCCCTCGTAGGCCATTAGTGTCAATGTGGAGGCTGGACAACGACGTTCCTGCAACCTGGAGCATTCGATTACACTGTCTGACCTCACTTTCGTCTTCGAACCAAACTGTCAAGTCTACCAGATGGATGGCCGAAGAAATGGCATCTAGATAGTCGACGACGCCACTACCGTCTTCCAGTTTCAAACGAATGAGATTCTTGGGCGGCCGCGCAGCGCCTAGGATAACGGTACATGTCTTGAAGTATATTCGACGACACACGAGGGTGACAAGACGAGGAAGGGCGGAGAGCAGCCGGCCGAAGATGACTACAGAAGCGAATTCGACGTGGAATAGTGAGAGATGAGTGACAGTTTCGAACGTCGCGTTCATGTGCGCGAACAGGTCCACGTGGAAGAGGATAGGTTTCCACTCGACTAGCGGCCAACGCTTTCCTACAAACTCCAGTGTTTCCACCTGCGAAAGCTTACGGGCTAGACACAGGGAAAACGGACCCAGGGCCCCAGCGCTGCGGATAGTGACTGTCTTCACAAGATTCCTTATAGATGGATCACGCGCCATCCTTTTCGCGACCAAACTCGATTGTCGCTTGCTGTGGAGTTCGACGATGCAAGATAGATGAAAGCGGCATCTCGTGCGCCATGCCCCGCAGACGGCAGCACAAACTCTGAGGTCCCGTATTCTCCAGAGCGATTCCCGACCAGACTCGTGGGCGAGATGGTCGAGCACATGCTCCCAGATCTCGTGAGGAAGTCTGGCAGTCGTTGAGAGAGAGCGCAGCTTTGTTGTATTGTCGAGCCATGATCTGTCCTCCTTCGTTGATCCTAGTCTGCTATTATCTACGATGATCATGCGGGATCAGCATCAGTGCGAACGCATCCAAGCAAGCAAAGAACAGGGAGTCCTCACCAAGTCTCGTGGCTGAAACGCCATCATAAAGCGAGCTTGCAACTTCCGTTAAAGATGCCTGCATTGAGTTTGGAGATGGTGTGTATTGACGACAAAGACATTTCTGCCTCGACGTGTGCCTTAAGTACTGTAGCTCGAGGCGGTTATGCACAGCACAGTAGTCTCGATCCTTCTATTTCCAGCGCCTCTTAGCTCTATCTAAGCGAGTGTAATTCATACGATCGCATGACCATACTGAACACAGCTGTGAACGGGCTTCGCTACTGTTCGAAGCTAGCACATGTAGAGAGTGGAAGTCAACAGAAACCTGAAGGCGCAGCAGTTTTTGTTGAATGGCCTAAGAGGTGTTGATAGAATAAGTTCTGTGATGGAAGAGCCCGGGTGCCACTCATATCACAGCGCTCTATTCTAGCGTTGAGGTGAAAGGCGACGCTGCCCTAATGCTTGTACTCAGAGCTTGTCAAGAGCTCGTCAATCTGTACGCAGATTCTCGTCAAGGCAGTGAGCCCTCAACTTCAACATGCGATAGTATCATCACAAACGCTCCCTAGCTTTGACGGAGAGACACCACTGAAGAACAACTCGCAGCATAACTGATTATGGCTCAGTGTACAAAGTAGCAGGTGTCCTGTCCCATAAGGAGCGGATGAGCTTTGATTCTTCGTCGTAACGAAAGCCGATGACGTGACTTACCGGAGCAGCCCGCGCGCACATAATCTGGGTAATCGTGGTGAAAGAAGCTCTTTCCATTCGTTCTCCGTCGGATGGTCTGAGCGGTCCTGGAGATCCAAGGCGTCGACGTACCCATCAATGTGGAAGGACACGGTATGAAGCATCTTGTACTGAGGACCAGACAGCAGCTCATCAATCTGCGCACAGATATCTTCATTAAGACATCTGAGTAGGCTCTCGATTTCTTCACGCGACCAATCCATCTTGAAAATCACCGTGACTTCACGCAGATTCGACGGCAAAGGCCCGCTTAGCAAGGTACGAAGGCCATAGAGCCTCTTGCGGTGGTAGTTCCAGAGAAATATCGTAGCAGTGAATGTCTGGAGGTTGGTATTCTGTAAAAGCTGTCGACTGAACTCCTCTGCAGTGCATTAGCAGGTGTCCTCAGTCAAAACTCGACACCTAACGTACCATTCCAACCCCTCTTCCGCCTCAGCACATCATCCGAATTGACATCAAACCTCACATGCAAATCTCGCAGTACCTTCCCAGCCGCTTCCAACATCTTGCCGTCCTTCAGTGCTTGCATCTCAGCTGATATGCTCGTGAGAGTTGCGGCGATCGATGTTTTCACGAGAAAATGCATGACGCCCGTCGCACCGGCATAGTCTAAATCAACATGGGCGAGAGGCCAGTCGCTCGGCTGAAGCACGACGTGCGGATTGAAATCAAAGTCCTTCGGATCATCTTGGCGCTTCAGCCCACCACGACAATAAAAGTGTGATAGCTGTGGAAGAGAATACAGGAAGCGGGCGAGAAGAACTGCGGATGGGAAAAGCGATTCCCAGTTGAATTCAATGTAAAGGTTCGTCACTGAGTCAAACGCGATCCGTAGATGCAAGAATATGTCCGCATGCAGAAGCTTTGGCTTCCAGTCCTCCTGGATCGACAGCGGCTTAAGCACCAGGGTACGTACGTGTACTAGCTTCCGTGCCATGCTAGTCGCAAACGGGCCCAAAGCCTCCGCTTTGGAAACGACCACCGTGGTGACTGCCGCAGCGAGGCGTCGATCTCGACTAAGTCTCTTCGCAATCCTAGCAGCCTGCCGTCGATCCTCTAGGACAACATACTGCCGTAGATGGAAAAGACAGCGTGCACGCCACGATCTGCAGACTGTGGCACATGTGCGCAAGCGACTCAAGTCTTTCAGCATCTTTTCTGTGTTCCATGAGGATGGGACGAGGTAGTCGAACGCATGCTCCCAGATTTCGATTGGAAGTGTGATTGAACCGGGATATCTATCGGGATGTATCTGTGCCGACTCGGTACGACTCATCGAGAGTGTTGTAGATGGAGTAAGCTCCTTCGAATAGAAATGAGGCAGTGGAATGGGTTGAATCTGAGTTGGAGAACCGGTGCGGCGGAGGAAAAGATCAGACATCTGTGAAGCTGTATGATGAGTCTGTAATACCGTGCACTCTTCTTCTTATTGACCTCGTTTAAGTTCTTCTGCTCCAATTGTGTGAGTATCAGAAAACGTCGAGATTTGTTGTGAGATGCGTATTAGTCCAATTCTCGTCACAGAACAACCGTGAATGGCTTATACGAGAGAAATTTTCTTTCCACTCGATTTGAATGAAAGATGAGGTCTTGCGGAGCAGGTTTGTCGACAGGGAAGAAATGACTTGGTTGGCAGTAAGAAGAGGCGTTGGCGCTGAAGAGACACTGAGAGGACGCGTGTCATGGCAAATTTGAAGAACCGCCTCTATGACTCCGAAGGAGTGAGTCCGCCGCCATTCACTAGTTCACCATTAGGCATTTCTCACATCTGGATGAGTAATACTCATAGAATTTACATAACTAGTACTATACTTTTAATCTCAGACAACTTTGCAAGACAAAATAAGTGCCTCTGGCTTTTATACAGCTTTTCTCTGGCACTGGTTCGAAATATAACTGGCCGCTGCAGGGTTGTGGATATGCACAATGCCGCTGAGAATATTGCTGTGTACACCCAGCTGCTGAAAAGTGACTAGCAGCTATCTGAATTTTATTTGTAACAGCTGACGCCGTCAGGGGAAGTCTGTGAACTAAATTTGAAACCCCCATAGCCACTCGAACTTCGGGCGAGTCTGGGATCATGGTTGACGGGGTATAACATGTGTGATGGCCCTTGGCTCGTTAGTATATGCACATTTCAAGTTTGCGAGAGTATCATATCCCCTTTCTAGAGACTGGGTATCGATGCTATCGGAAAATATACAAAACGACAGATTCTAGTGAGTATTCAACGTCGATTCAATTAACTTGTCTTTCTGCTTGATCTCAGACTATTTGAGACCCTATGTCCCTAGGTGTTACGGACAAAGCCCTGCCTGCTACGCGCCACGCACGCCCGACTGCCTCGACTTTGCGTCACACGTCGCAAGGCGCGAACTCCCGGTCGAAACGTTACATACAGTATTCCGAGCCGTCATGCCCTAGCCCCTGGCACACTCCCGCATAGAGTCACGAATCTTCAAGTTCATACCTCCACGCGAGCTCCGCTTCTGTTTCAATGGTATATTTCCGGAGTACCCAAGCGCCTTGCGCCCACATTCTGCCTTTTCTCATCCAATCTATCTTCCAATCCGACATCCCTCCTCGCCATGACCGCACTCTCCAGCAGCATAGTCTTAGCTGCCTCTATAGCCATAGCCTTCCGTATTACTTTGCATGCCAATTTTCTTATCACCAGTGCCACGTTCGGGTTCGCCTATGTGTTTGCACGATGGATTCTTACGAGTCGCAAGATGCAAGGGATTGCCCCCGGTCCACCTCTCTGGCCAGTTATAGGCAACGCCACCCACATACCTACGGAAAGCCCTTGGTTGACATTTTCAAAGTGGGCTCAGACATATGGTCAGCGCCACAATCCCTCGATATTGCGTTGATGTCTAGAGATAATTCTGCAGGCGATATCATACATCTTGATGCTATGGGTCAACCTATAATCATCCTCAACAGCATACAGGCCGCCAAAGACCTCCTCGACAAGCGCTCTTCCATATATTCGGGGCGACCCCACATGGTAAGCGCGTCGTATTCCTCGTTTGTCCATGCTGAGCGTACTCTTTGCACAGGTCATGGCATGCGACCTGTGAGTGGGCCATGATGAGCCGCCGTACCACGTAATGTGAATGTTGAATCCTTTCTAGGATAGGATATGCACAAGGTTTCGTCCTACAGCCCTATGGTGAAGAGTGGCGCAAGCAACGCAAGATCGTCAACCAAGACTTCAACCAGTCCGTTGTACAGCGCTATTACGATGTACAAGAGACGCAGGCTCGGAAGCTCGTACTGGGTGTTTTAAATGATCCGAGCTCCCTTGAGAGCGAAATCAAGATGTACGTGCATCACTCCCAATCGAACTGTTCTCTGATCACTCACCAATCACGCAGGAGAATCGCAGCGATCATCCTCGAGGCGAATTACGGCTACACCGTTCAGTCAAAAGACGACCCCTTTTACACAATCCCGCTGGACGCGATGAGTAACTTCAGCAAAGCAACCGCCCCAGGCGCATTTCTAGTTGACTTGATTCCTCAGCGTAAGTGTGACCATTGGATATCGCGTGGGCTTTCACCTCACCTCATTTGACTTTTAAGTTAAGAATCTTCCGGAATGGATGCCCGGAACAGGTTTCTTTCAGACGGCTAAGGACATGCGCAAAATTATGATGGAGGGGACATGGAATCCCTACCTCTGGGCCAGAGATAATCTTGTCCGCACTCTCTGTACTCAATTTTCGTAGCGCTGACCAACCACAGCCCACAGGGATTGCGCATACCCCAAGCTTATGTGCCACGACACTCACCCAGGTGGATGGTCCCCTTTCTGCGGCAGACGAGCACTCGTTAGTGTGGGCGGGTTCGGCTGTTCTTGGCGGTGGGTTAGATACGGTACGCCCTTCCCCTCCTACAATTTCGTCTACTCCCTGAGCCTCGAGCGCATGCTGCCGGCTGCTGCTCGCTAGAACATGTCGACTATATTATCATTCGTGCTCGCGATGCTGCATTACCCTGAGATACAGGCAAAGGCCCGTGCGGAGATTGACGCCGTGGTAGGCTGCGACAGGCTTCCGTCTCTCGCAGATAAATCATCGCTGCCCTATGTGCGTAGCATCGTGACCGAGGTGTATCGCTGGGCCCCTCCGGTACCCCTGTGTAAGTTCCTGCAGCGTATGATGGCACAGTAATCTGGCTGACTATATACACGCACCTTCCTTACGAAAGGCATCCCTCACTGTCTGAACGAAGACGATGTCTATAATGGCATTCACCTGCCCAAAGGCTCCCTGGTCATGCCCAACATCTGGTATGTCCCCACAGTGGCCACTTCTCCACGCGGACAGTACTCACTGATTGCTACTGTGGTATTACAGGCACATGACGCGCGACCCAAACACATATCCTAACCCAGACGCCTTCCAGCCCGAGCGATATGACGGCTCTGACATCGAGATGCAAAAGGTCACGGACCTTGTGTTTGGCTTCGGGCGGCGTGTGTGTCCTGGTATCCACTTCGCGCAGGGCACCATCTTCGCCATCATCTCGACGCTGCTCGCGACGTGTGAGATATTGCCCACGCGCGACGCCCATGGCCGTCCCGTCATACCTGAGGTGGCGTACACCTCTAGTACAATCTGGTTCGTTCTTCGCCCGCCGTCTCTTGGTGCGAACTGATAGATGTGTCGTTAGCTTTCCAAAGAATGTCCAAGCCCACTTTACGCCGCGCACGCCGCAGGCTATGTCACTGCTTACACAGAGCATCGTAGAGCAAGAGTTTGTAGTTAACTAGAACTCATGAGCGAACTTGAGTTCGGGATTTCCGTATTCCTGGATAATGAGATCCTTGTTGCACTGGGTGGTCCCTCAAATCAGGAGCAGATGTGGTGTCCCGTCCAAATGCGCACCTCAATTGAACTCGGACCGGATATCTAGCATTGGGCTACTGTGATTCCGCGGCGCTTATCTCTGAGTTTCTGTGATTGCCCGTATGCTCGAAGTTAGATTTGGAGAGAAAGGGAGGTCAGTAACCTAAGATACACATCACTATTGTCACTCGGCCCAGTAAGAGTTTTCCACAAGACGTACAAAAAGCATTGTTTGACACGTGGCAAAGTCAAAGGAGTACAGGAGACTATAGGTTGGCAACGCGCAGAAGATGTTGTATAGAAACGACATCTAGTACGTCTGCAGCGGCTGCGGCCAATGAGTGTGGCAGTCATAGTCATGCGAAGCCACGGTCCTCCAAATATTTCATGTCTACACGATTTTACAGTGGTACGTTACATGCACCAGAACAAACCTGATACACCCCGTCTACATGATAAAGGTTTTGTAGTTGATGGGCGATGCCCTTCGTCGGTTTGCCATTCTTCTCGTTTTTTCGCGCGTATCCATCACCGGCGCATCCAAAGGCATCGGCCGTGTCATCGCTGTAGCCTTCGCCCAAGCCAATGCTTCAGAATGCGCTTCTTGCCCGTTCCTCTGTGAGTGTAACGTATGCCGAGCAGTGCGAGGCCACCGTGCATCACGGGTGCACACCCAAAGTTCTTACACTCTCGGCAGACGCGACTGACGCTGCGCAAGTCGCCTCAGCGGTGGCATAGGTCCAGGAGACGTTCGGTCGACATGATACTGCTACCAATTTAGAGATAAGTTTCATACAGGCCGGCAACATTCAAACGCAATAGTGTAGATGTGTTGCGCGCTACGTATTCGTAGCTGTGGACACTATGTGAACGAGAGAGTGAATTGGAAGTTCTGGTGAGACAGCAAGGAGGAATGGAGCATCACCAAACAAGGAAGTACGACTTTTCCGCTCCGACCGGAACAGTCCTAGAATAGAATAAATTAGATATGAGTTGGGCGCACGAAATAAATCTACTGGTACTTAATTTCTTGGCTAAGTTCACATCCGCCGTGACGGACCGGTCTTATCCGAGTCGTTTTCAGGCGCTCCGATAGGGCCAGCTCGAACTTGACATGATTGCCAGTGCGGCGTGATACTGCTGCAACGGCATCGTCCCGGATGGGATAATTGTATGAAGGTGAGGTCGACATCGAAATCAAATTTATTTGCTGAATGCCGCGCATTCTGGAGTACCAATCATAATGAAGACTCCCGCTTCATCGCTCAACGCCCAGTATCGCTAACAAATTGAGGGGTACATACACAGCAACATACAGTGAGTCGTCCTGTTTTAAAATTACATCCATTCTGCTATGAGAAACACCTCAATAATATAGTTTATCATGTGTAAGTGTGAAAGGTCTGCACTATAAGCATGCCGACAAGCGTGGACCTTTCACATCAGCTCGTCGATAGGCCCGGGAGGAACCGTCGACTGTGCAATCTGCTTCAGTGTCGCGTCTAACCCATCAGGGGCTGTCAAAAATGGCCCCGCAAGCTTCACATTACTCTCCACGATCCCCTGGACTTTCAGCACCATATCCGCCAGGCCCTTGGCAGTGTGTACGAACTGCATCGGGGATGACTGTGCCGTCAGGCTGCCAAAAAATACCGCGACATCGAGGCACAGATTTACAAAATCGTGCATCTTCCCGTGAAGCGTGTCAAACTGCGTACGCTCTCGGCGGAATGTCTCTCTGAGGTTCTGGAGGTCCGGGAGATACCCGTTGATGCGGTCCACCTCCCCCCGCGCGTCGTTCACCGCATCCTCCGCCGACTTGTAGTCCTGTTGCGCTGTCGAAAGGTTGTTCTCTGCGTCGTTTAATGCGCCCTTCGCTGCGTTAATCTGGCTGTGTTCACATAATTAGGCGTCAACATCCTACATCACCACATTCCTGGAAGACGGGGACAAGTCACTCACCTATTCAGCCCGCCAATATCAAGAGCGTCCCCCAATGGCCCGAGAAACGCGTTTCGCAAGTCCCGTCCACTCTTCGCGCTATCCAACTTTCTCTGCGCCTCGTCTCGCGCCTCCCGTGCAATTTTTGCCGCATGCATCGCTGTATTAATGCGATCACGCTGCGTCGCAAGCTCGCGGTTCTGCGATGAAATCAAGTCGTTGAGCAACACGATAATATCGCGCGCGCGCGCCTCCTTTGTCTCCGCCTGGCTGGCGTCATACGTGATGTCCACCTCCTCCTTCGCCGCTCGTTCCATCGACAACTTTGCTGTGCCGTGTGCGGAGTCGAATGCATTGTGCAAAGCGATTGCGTCCGCTTTGCACCCTGCGACCAGCGCGTCACGCGCGCTAGGACGCGTTTCCGAAGAGAGCTGGACGATTTTTGCACCGAGCTGCGTGATCCGCGCGATGGCCTTGTCGCTAGGTGGGCGCAGGCTGTTGGTGAAGTCCGAGTAGTCGTGCTGGAGCTCTCCACTGATGCGTGTCATCTCGCGTGAAAGCCGCTCCGAGTCTGCACGCAGGCTCTGAGCTTCGTCGGTGAGCTTCATGAGCTCGGGATTCTTCCGTGGGAGCTGAACTGGGAGAATCTAAATAGGATGTATAGTGAGTGTCCGATCCATGCAAGACATGACATGGATACTTACTCCACTGCCCCGGCTCGGCCCTGAACAATCAAGAGTTACGAGTCTTATACATCTATGATGGTTTAGATGTGCTCACTTAACATTGGTTGATGATCCATCATTCCTCCGACCCCGACGCTGTGAGGTATTTGGGGCCCAGGGCCCATACCAATCCGGGTGTTGAGAACAGGCATCCTCTGAGTGTATCAAGTCAGAACGGCAAGGGGGATAAGAGAAGGCTCACTTCTGATAGCTTGTTAATGATAAAGCAGTAGCGGAAGTGCGGACACACAGGATGCAGACCTTCATGCTGGTCATATTTATGAGACCGCAATGGAGGCGCTTCTATCTCGAAGAGTGACATTGTGCACATTGGGCGTAAATCTGTGCTCGTCATGGGTCTGCGCGAGTAGTAGCAAGAGTTTGCCTCGTGCATCACCGGGTTTCCAGACCACCGAAACCTTACTAGTCGGGGAAAATCCACGCACGCAGACCCAAGCAGCTTGTCAAGACGGGTATGTGCGAGCATTCGGGAGCTTCCAACCGTTCGACATTGGTCTCACGGACGTAAAAGGTGACAATAGATTGATTTCCGATTGCTGGCCCTAGACCATGCATGACAGGAGTAATGACTTGGCTATAGAGTCTTCTTCCAGGGACGCACAGTAAGTACGTGAGCACTTCTCCGCTATGAAATCGCACCTTATATGGGTGGTCGCGCTGACAGTAGTCTAGTTCTCCGGACATGAGCATCCCGGTGCTGCTTTGAGCTTTGCGTGTATTCAAACTCAATTTAGGCGCACTACACCGTCCAACTTCACTCTGTCCGTGCTCGACGTGAGATGATCATTGCGTTCCTTGGAGTATTTGCTGTTACTTTAGTCTCGTTACCAGACTTCGATAGGTTGGAGGAATCATATGTAGTTGCCGGATTTGGTGGGCAGAGCAGGTCTTTTTTGGGCCTCCGATACACACTCAAGCTCCCTGTGGCGTGCTCCCTGTCCTACCGTCTAGAAGCGAGACTGCCGGCTATTACTTATGATTATGCTCCTGAGCGTGACGGGATCTGGAATGTATTTATTGTTCAGTTTTCGACATTCAATGTCTTGACCAGGCATTTCCCTACAGCATTAGACTCTTCCACCGCATTCCAATGGCGCGACGTTCGTAAATCAGTTCCACACAGCCTTACACTTTGCACGTAAAGCCGAGTCAGTGCCGCACCAGCAGACGGAATGATTTGGCAGTGGAGTTCACTAGGGACCGACTGGCGTTGAATCAACACGACAATTATCTTCCCCGCAGCCTGTCTTGCCGCAATATCGGACCTGCCGCTTTCCCGTGATGTCGAAGATGTGATGACCGGCGTGACTCTGGAGAGATTCGACCCTTCGCCGTTCGGCAGGACAAGCCGAACATGCCCCACAGCCGACCTATCTGCTATTCTGAGATATTGCTGATGATATTCGAACTCAGATAAGCTCAACGTTCAAGGCGTCGACAAAGCGCTGCTACAGATGGTACCTAGTGGGTAACGTACTTACTTGAGCAGCAGTGGTAGTACATAGTGTCGGCGCGAGCCGGGATACCTTACAGGCAGGAAGCGACGCTAGTACCTCCGAAATTGCCCTCGCTATGTGTCGGAGACGAATTCAATTTATAACCCCGACAATGAGTTGACTGGGACAGCTCGGGGTTGCGCAGGGTCATTCTGACGATTGGAAAGCCACGCTTCGAGGAGAAATCGTGCAAATAAGTGTATAATTCGGCGAGTTTTCTCTCAAGGGGGCCCGGGTATACCTCGCCACACGAACATGAGCATCTAAAGTTGAAGTCGTGTAATTTTCAGCCCAAAAAAGTACTACTAGCAGTCTTGCTATAGGTACTTCCATTTGCACAGCGACATCATTCGCGAATCACATCATCTTCACGGGGATTGAGCGCAACTCGTGTTCAGCGCATGTTTGCTGCCGCTCGCTTCTTCGGACAGGGATCTCACCGGTAGTATTGCTTCCTCGTGCATGTCGAGCAGATGGCCGTTTTGTTATCAGATGACTTCACGATCTGCTGTTCTGACATGCATGCACCAGAATGACCAGCGCAACGAATAGCCTGGTGTAAGTTTCTCACTTTGCACGGGCTTGCAAAGCGCCAACAGGAACGATATGTAAAGGCGAAGTCTGCGTCGCTGGAATCCCCATCCCTAGATCATCTCAACTTTCGCCCATTCGCCCGCCGTCTCTTTCAATATTTACAATGTCTAACTCAGATCTTGTTGCATACCACGATGCAATTAAGAAAGTCAACTCGGGAGCGTAAGTGCTCCAACTTTGCTTGTCTTTCCTTTCCTTGACTCACTCATATATTCACAGTAATGTTAACCAAGATGCTTGGATGAAGTGCGTGTTACTATTTTCTTCTTTGGATGTTCTTTCTGAAAAATCGATGTCCACAGTATGTGGTGCAACACCAACTGGGGCAGCCTTCTTCAACCTGCCCCTCTGTCCATTGCGCTGCTTGGCTCTATTCTCATATTAGCCAGTGGAACGAAGGACTTCAGTAAGCCTTCTCTATACACGTAAAAACCAGTACTTACATTCTCTCTCAGGTCTGATCGTCGACAAGCCACAGGGCGTTCCTGACTTCAAATGGCAGTACGCCCAGCATCCCGACTCATTTAAAGCATGTCTCATGCAGGTGTGTCGTGAAAATCTGCCTTTTTTTTTGCAATTTTTATAAGATGTATTCATACAGATGGTCGGAGCGGGCTACACCGCGTTCGAGACCGCGCATAAGGACATGCAGACTATTCAAGCGCTTTCTGGCCAGATGCCTGACGTGATCAGGAATCTTGTGCAGCTGCTTATCTCAGGCGAGCCGGACGAAGTGCAGGCGCTCTTCCCGAATGGCCTTGCGGACCTCAAAGGCCTTGCAAACGGCTGCAAGGAAGCCGCAGAGGAGTGTGAAGGTGGATTCAAGGATATGGCCAACCTCGCGCGTAAGTATATCATGATTTGTATCCGAGGCACTGTTGAAATAGCTGGATCTTCCACAGAGGAAATGGTCCTCGCGTGCACGTACAAGGCTGGAACATCGGAACAGATCCTAGCACAGGTGTGTCCTCATTCTCTATCAAACCTAGGGGTCGTCGGGATTAAACCTCGTCCAACAGAACGAAATTAACCTCAAAGTGCTTGCGATAGACAAGGAAAGCACGGAAAAGATGCTCAAAAACACGAAAGAAAATCTCGACATCGCGAAAAATTCGGTATGTGCTCTCGCCAGACTTGATGAACCACACGACGACGTCGATATTTGACCCACGTAGTTCCTCGACGCCCAAGATCAGTTCAAAGACGCGATCAAGTCTATGCCCACCGGGTGGGAGCTTCTAGGTGCGCTCCTCCCCGTCATCCGTACCGCACCAGTCCCCACTGACCTAGGCATGGCGCACAGCAATGGGTGTCGTCGATTCGCTGACGAGCTGCGCCACACATGCCGCCAACGCATTTGTAAACCAAGCAACGATGCGCTCGCAGCTGGTTAACACGACTGTGCAGGCTTTTGCGAACAAGATCTCTCCGGATGGCAATGTCACGCCGCCCGCGGGGGCTGCGTCCAGCCCTGCAGAGCAGCAGGAGGGAAAGCAGGGCCAGCCGTCGTCGGTGCCAAACACAGACGCGATGACGGACCCCGCGAATGGGCAGGTCGATTTTGTGCTGCAGTATGCGAGCGCGGTGAAAACGCTGCTCATTGCCAAGGACGGGAAGCCAGATTGGGCTCAAATCGTGACGACTGACCCAAACGCGGTGACGGGCGCGTCATATGTTCGTGCAGAGCTCCAGCGTACGAAGACCAAACTCAAACCGGGGAAGGCAATGTCTGACTCGCTCAGCACCAGTGTGGACAGTCTTACTGGGGTAGGTGTGCGCTCTCGGTACGAACGTAGGGCGCTGACGGCAAGAATCTGGAGTGCAGGTGGTTGATAAGCTCATCAAATCGGGAAATGCAGGGGAGAACGACGACAAGCTAGCGGTGTCGCTGGGGACGACTGTCGACGAGCAGATCACGAACTTGCAAACGCTCAGCCAGAAAGCGCGACTCGTAACACAGACAGCGCCCGCTAATCCACCCGGTCTTGCGCCGCCACCTGCACCACAGTCGTCGTCGAACGACTCAGCGAAGCTCGCTGTTGAGGTACGTGCCATGCATCTGGCACCAGGAGTGAGGGCGGCTAACGTGCGGCTGTTTAGAATGGGAAGTTCAAGGTTGATCAAACGAAGGAAGTGCTGGAGTCCGCGCGCAAGTCGTACAACAACCTCAACAAGCAGATGACAGAGCAGGTGCGCCGTCTTGCAGGTCTGAGTGTATGTACTGACAGGCATAAATTCTGCGTTACATAGCAAAAAGAAATGGCAAAGACGATGCATGAGATCACCAGTCTCAATCTGCTGGACGCGAAGCTGTCAGGTAGGTGTCTGCCTGTCTGCATCCAAGTTCGAGTTTAGGAAGCTGCTGACCGGGGCACGGCAGAGATGATTCCCATCCTGAAGAAAGCCGTCGGGTCGTTCAACACGCTTCGTGCGCAGATCTCACAGCTCGTCCAGTTTTTCGAGGTCAGTACGTGCTCTGTCTCGCTTCAGATTCTCATAGCGATGTGATATAACGTGCAGAGCATCACTTCCCTGATTGATGATGTGATGGCGCCATCTGTGGCGCGTCTTGTTACGGTACGACGCCTGTCTCTCGTTTTCCGGCGCAATTTAACTTTGTCTGCAGACCATGCAATCAGCAGAAGACATGATCCTTGGTGGGACATCGCTCAAGAGTGTGTTTTTTCGCGCCTTATATTCCCTGCCCCACTAGAACAATTCTACACGCAGACTTCACCCGGAATCTCGTCTATAATCAAACTATGACCCCGCTCAAGTACGCCTCTCTCACGTCACCTCGAAAGCATCTAACCTGACTGATAACTGTAGAGTGGCGATGCTCACGACGAAGATCTCCACGGTCTACGTCGAGATCTCAACCGACTACATTCTTCCCGCGCAGCGTAGCGTTGGGAACATGCTCCAGTTCGCGGAAAACTCGGACCCATCATCGCTTGGACCTAAACTCCAAAAAGCGCAGCAGGAACTGCAGAAGAAAGCGGACACTGCGAGCAAGCAGATCTTGGACAAGGTCGCGAGAGATCAGGCGGACTTTTCGAACTCTATCATGAAGAGGGTAAACGGCATTGAAGATGCGCTAAAAGCAATCCAGCCATTCCAGGCACCGCGTACGTAACATCTTGGCTCGCTATTCTGATTTATGGGCCTCAAAATACCACGCATATTTTACAGCATCCAAGGCTTTGACGGACGTAACGACGACGCATGTTGAGGACGTTTCCGAACAAAAGAAGCAGGAGGATGCGGCAAACCCAATGAATGGAACACCAGAGGATCTTGGGCTGATGTAATTCTCTTGCTTGTTTGGATGGTCTGCGTGTGAGCACTCGAGTTTTCTTGACTTGTTGAAGTCATCATACATGGAGATGCACATCGCGATTGGGCAATTGCCTCACTTGTATGAATTTAATAACATTGTAAAGGACGTTTATCACAACTGTGGTGTACCCGCAAGCACTATACATCAGAAACTTTACGTATACATTTCTGTCATACAAAGATAAATCGTGCTCGAGGCGTCCCAAAGACCTAGAAAACAAGAGCGGAAGACTCGCACGTTCACATCAGACCGAGGTCCTGGGGCGTCGCATTCATCGGGTTTGCAGTCGCCTCCTGCTTCTTCTGCTCAACGATCTCCTCGACATAGGACGTCGAGACCGACGTCAGCGCCTGCGATGCTGCGTATTCCAATCGTACTGAGCGACATGATCGATTATCAAGCAAATTGAATACGTACGGGGTGCCTGAAGTGGTACGATAGCACTGATCGCCGTCTCAATACCATTCAACCGCGTCGTGATAGCGCTGGCAAAATCAGCTTGGTCCTTGGCGACCGTGGCCAGAATCTATCGCAGAAGCTCCGTAAAGACGCGATGTTGCACGTCAAAAGAATAAACGACAGACCTGCTGGCTCGCTGTATCAGCCGAGGCCTGGAGCTTCTTCTGCTCTTGCTCGAGCTTGGGAGCGAGTGTGGACGGGTCGGAGCCCTGCGCAAACTGAAGCATATTCCCGACACTTCGCTGGGCGGGCATGATGTAATCGTTGGATATCTCAACATAAACAGAAGACACTTTAGTGGAAAGAAGGGCAACTCTGTTGGAGCCAGAATTAGCAACCCCGAGTTGTCGATATGTAGGCAGCTAGGAAAACCCACTTGAGCGGCATCATCGTTTGGTTGTAGATAAGATTACGCGTGAAATCTAGCAGAGAGTCAGTGGGTGAGACTGAGTGGCCGCAGAGAAATGGTTACCCTGGAGCGAGGTTCCGGCGAGTATCATGGTTTCTGCAGATTGCATTGTCTACGCAAGAATTAGCGAAAGCGCAACAGCGAAGGGTAAGCTATACCTGCACGAGACGGTCCACCGACGGCGCCATGATGTCGTCGATAAGCGAGGCAATACTCTATGAGCATACATTCGCATGAGCAATCAGACGAATGGTCCTCATAGAAACTTGCCTCGAAGAATTGGACCAACTGTGATATTTGTGCGCGGAGGGTATTGAAGGAACCGACGGCCTTCTTGAGAACAGGTATCATTTCTGCCGTACTCCTGGCGTAAGAATGCGACGCAGCCTCAAAGACCACAGGAACATACGGGATAGTTGGGTATCTTGAAGGCTCAGACTGGTGATCTGTTGCACGGTCGTAGAGATTTCTTTTTGCTAGTGGATAAGTGGAAACGGTAAGTCTCACACGAGCTTTACGATAGATATTCGACGCTTTCTCACTTGTTCAGTCATCTGCTTATTGATATCATCGTACGATTGACGTGCCGCCTGAAGCACTTCCTTCGTCGAGTCGATCTTGAACTTTGCATCCTACAGAACGATGCGTATCAAACAACCAGCTCTGCAGAGGCTATCTCACGATACGACTGCACGTACCTGTACTGCGAGCTGGGCCGTCTGACCCGAGGACGGCTGAGCCGGTGGGGGGGGCGCAAAGCCGGTGGCAATAGAGGGCGGAGCTTGTGTGACAAGTTTCGCCTTTTGGCTAAGTGTCTGCAAGTTTGTAATCTCCGAGTCCACTGTCTCCCCGAGGGAAGCAGCGAGCTTGTCGTCGTCGTCGCCCGCACTCCCAGACTTGACAAGCTGATTGAGAACCTATAATTCCTAGTGAGACATTGTCGATAAAAGAAGCTCTCCAACAAGCGGCGTACCGAAATCAGGCTGGTAATAGATTGGCCTAGCGCGTCGGACATTGCCTGGCCCTGCTGGAGCTTGGTCTCGACAACTTCCAGTTCGTCTATAATGTATGATGCGCCAGTCGTCTTGCTTGTGTCGGTCGTGATGATCAGGTCCCAGTCTGGCTTCCCGTCTTTCCCCACAAGCAATGCCTTGATTCCATTGGCGTATGAGAGGACCAGGTCGACCTGCCCGTTTGCAGGATCGTTGATACCGCTGAGACTTGGCACCGGGGAAGGATCATTTGACCGTTGTGCGGGTTGCTGAGTGGGGACAGTCGCACCCTGAGCGGGAGTGACGGTCCCGTCTGGCGAAATCTTGCTCGTGAAGGCATCCACGCCAGTCATGACAAGCTGAGATCGCATCGTTGCTTGGTTGATGAACGCGTTGGCCGCGCTCACAGCGACGTTGGTGAGCGATTCGACGACACTCATGCCTAAATATACAAGTCAAACGGGCGACATGTGTTTCGAAATGAAAAAACAAACCAAGGAGTTCCATCCCAGAGGGCATAGAATTAATTGCCGACTGGAACTGGTCCTGGGCATCGAGGAACTGTAGGTCCAAAGTTCAGTACTGGCAGTGCAGAGCCGTCCTTAAAGAGGCCTACAGATTTCTTAGCAGTACTGAGGCTGTCTTGCGTACTGGCGAGCATCTTCTCAGAATTTGCCTTGTCAACTTGCAATACTTGCAGATTTATCTCGTTCTGAAAATATTTTCATCAGTCATGAGCAACATATGGTATCAATCTAACACACTTGGGCGAGAACTTGCTCTGAAGTTCCAGCTTTATAGGTGCATGCAAGTACCATTTCCTCTAAAATTCAACATACGTTATTATCAACATATCCTTATTTTTATGATGAGGAACTTACGAGCAAGATTAGCCATATCATTGAACCCAGCCTCGCACTCTTCGGCGGCAGTCTTGCAGCCGGTGGCCAAACCCTTCAGGTCATTGAGCCCATTCGGAAACAAAGCCTGTACTTCATCGGGCTTTCCAGAGATCAGTAACTGCACGAGGTTCTGAATTACATCAGGCATTTGACCAGATAATGCTTGGATAGTCTGCATGTCCTTATGCGCTGTCTCGAATGCAGTGTAGCCGTTCCCAACCATCTATTAAAGTAACTGAGATGGACGTAATGGATAAGTTTTCCAATAAGAACCTGCATGAGACACGCTTTGAACGAGTCTGGATGTTCAGCGTACTGCCATTTGAAGTCTGGGGCACCTTGAGGTTTCGCGACAATAAGACCTGTAAGGCAAGTTAGTATTCTATTTCAGAAAAACAAAAAAGCTATATACTAAAGTCTTGTGTGCTACTAGCCATGATCAGAATTGAACCAAGCAGTGCAACGGAAAGCGGCGCAGGTTGGAGAAGCGTGCCCCAGTTGGTGTTACACCAAGTCCTAATATGTAGATTTGTAAGCTCTCCCTGAGAGGAGTACAGAGCTAAGAAGCGTACGCCATCCAAGCATCTTGGTTTACATTGCTGTGATGACGATCTAATCAGGACAGAAGAAAACTGAGAACAGTTGGCCGACATACGTTCCTGAATTGATTGTTAACGTAGCAGCATGAATATCAGCGAGATCCTGGTTAGACATCTTTGTATGTGAGATGTAGCCGTTTGTTGCGCAGACAGAATCAGATGAAAACGTATGAAGACGAGTCGAGCTCAGACCCGCCTTTAAGTACGAGGTCTGTCAGCAAATTCATGGGTAAAAAAGGTACGAAGAAGTATCGACTTCTCCGCACAATGGTCGACATTACCAGACACAAAACACTCGACAGCGAAGCATCCGCGACATCGGGGGGAGGGGATTCAGAGCGGCGGGGTGCTGTATACAGGTCTGCAGGAAGCGCCCTCACGCCGATCTGGGGACGGAGATAGCAGACCAATCGGATCGTCGAAAAGAGAGCTTAAGAAGGCAGCTGCAATGGCCGATCCGGAGCGCGGAGGGTCATGCGATACTCTTATGGCCTTCGAGACCATAACCGTAACTAGATATGGTAAGGACGTACTCGAAGGGAGACCATAGATGTATGCCCCGCGCTCCGATACAGTGTCGGTAGAAGGTAGTCACCGCCAGACAGCAGGAGCGGAAGTAATTGCGATAGTGAAACGTTCAGCTTCAGTAATTTTCCCGGAGAGCGCACTCAATGACAGCTGCTTCATCGCGATCACCGCTGAATATCCGTTCACTGTCGGAAAGTCTAGCACGACCAGCACAAGTGAGACCAGATGGAACTCTGAAGCAAGGCGAAAGATTACCCTTCTTGTGGTGTATATAAAGATCGTCGTACTCTCTCCAAGGATTGAGTCAAATCAGCACCCAAGGACAGAACTCCATAAGACAAACAACATCGACAGAATGGCTGTCGCGTGTATGGACTTTCCATACGCACAATAATGTACGCTAATCTTCATCATTCTAGTATCATCAGCACCGCGACAATCCCTTATGGTTGCTGGCGTGAGTACCTATCTTCATATACAGAAATCGCAATTACTGACTGAAGACTTTCAGTCAATCCAAGTTCCAGTTGGTAGCCTCCAGAGCCTGCGCGCCGAGGCCGAACAGCTGCACGCAAATGTATCAGACCTAGGCAGCAAAACAGCACAAGTAGTCGCAAGTGTAGCTGCTGAGTATACCACCCTCATAAACACCTTGCGTCCAATGGGCGAGAAAGCCATAACACGAATCATCCAGCTTGGGGACGAGATTGAGAAGCTCGCGGCAGACCAAAATAGCACCCAGCACGACGCGCTCATCGCAGATTGTAAAGCCGGATCCATCGCACTGCACAACGCCTTCGACGACGCATACAATTCCGCGAAGTCTGCGCTAGACGCTGCGACAAAGGAGGCGACCGAGATCGTGTACGACGAGTCCCAGACGGAGACAGATGAGACACGCGTTAAACAGATCATCGCGCTCGCGACGGTAATCTTGGCCTCTAATAAGAGCAACCTGCAGTTTCAGCAAGATCGCGTTAACACGGAGAGCCAAGCCGAGCAGACCGCAACGAATGCGCGTAATGATGCAGAGAGCAAGTTGAAGAACGCCAAGAATGTTAGAATCGTTCGCGATGTGTTTACCCTTGGGCTTGGAGAGGCTGGGGACTGGGGAAGCTTAAACAAGTGGGTTACCGCAGCATGCGTCGCTTGATATATCCGCTCATTGATCAATTCCGCATCTATAGAGAAATGAGTGATGCCGAAAGCGCTCTCCGTACGGCCGACAACAACTTAGAACAGGCGCAAAAAGACTACGCTGCTGCTCAGAGCGCAGTTACCTCCGCACTGGCCGATATCGCAGCGATTACCGCCCTCTTGCCCGACCTCCAGCGTCTTGGGGCGATATTCCAAACCGAGAGGGCACAGCTTGAACAAACGCGCGCGAAGTTGAATGACTTCACGAACACCTGCCTCGACCTGGCCAATTATTTCGGCAGCCTCGACGCGCAATCAGCGCCGCTGGAGTATATCCACAATGCGGCTGGCCTCGCGAGCGCGGTAGTGTCATTGCAGAATACTCTTGGCTGCAACACGAAACTGTCTGGTCCGTTCTTGACAGCACCGAGCAGCTTGGATGGGCCACTGGAGCAGATTGCGAAGTCGACCGTCCCGGCCGGTCCTGTAACCAGCCTTATGTAAAGGTGCGCTTTGTTACACCACACTCCTGGTCCGTTTTATTTACGCATGTAACAGTTCGTATACGCTTCCTTACGGGGCGTGTAGACGTGCATGTCTCCTGGGTGAATAGATAATTGAATGATAAATGATGATCGGCAGTATAAAGACTCGCTCAGGGTAAATATTCATCGAAGTACTAGTTCTATGCAGAATGAGTGAAGTATGATTGTTGAACGCTGAAGAGGAATGAAACAGTTGAAAATATTGCATAAGTGGAACTAGAAGGATCAAATGCAAAAGTGCCCCGACCAAACTGTCGGCGTCGAAATGTCAACACATGTCAACAAGACGCTAAATTTGACGGCTCCCGCACGCTATTTGCTTGACTACTTCCGATTAATGGGCGATACCTCCTTTACGCTGTTGCTCAGACTTCACCTAACACCAGTTGAAATGTAGAGCATCTGAGTAGTTGGAAGTGGGGATGTTGGCAGTTTTTGTATCGCATTATTACCAGCGAAATCTTTATTTTACTTTACAAAGGTGAAGTCCCTCTGTGAACTGTTGCTTCAGCCTTATGCATATGATGGATAGCTGTCTGGAACATGTCTTGAGGAAGGGAAGAGTGAATCAAGTGTGTATATGGTGAGTGGATTCCGACTAGCAGCGAAATCGTTTTATTACGCTGGCAGCACTGATGTGCACTAGTGATGCTGACAACAATATCATTCAATCTTGAACTATACAACCATCTTTACCTTCAACTTGTCGCCGTCCACAATCTCCTGCTCCTTTGCGGACAGTTCCTCCATGTCCCACTGGGCGCTGACGTAGCGCCCGGCTAGCCAGTCCCTTCTCTCGCTCACAAGCCAGACTATGGTATGCGCGGCAAGTTCGGGGGTATCATATGGAGGAATGCCCCCGCCCCTCGCGCGGAAAGGTACTTTAGCGGCCATGCCTGTATCGATCAAACCAGGATGAACAAAGTGCGCTAGGACACCCTTATCTCCATATTCTACCATGGTAAGCTCTGTAAACCGCAATAGTGCAAGTTTAGATGTCTATCATTGAGTGGCGTCCGTAAGAGTGATCCAAAGAGCACGAGTTGACGACATACGTTATAAGCGGAGAGTTTTGGGAGTTTCATCAACCCAGCAAGACTCCCGACATTGACTATCGTCTTGTCCCCGCCGCTCTCAATAAGCCATGGCAAGGCCGCACGCGTCATCGCGTACGTACCCAACATGTTGACAGCCCATGTCTGCCAGACCTGATCTAGATCGGAGTCGGCGATGAGGTCGTATTCTGCGAGATAACCTGCGTTGTTGACCACGATATCGAGTCGTTCAAAAGTTTCTCTGATTTTTTCAAATGCCGAGGATATTTGCTCTGGCCTGCTCGTATCGGCAGTAATAGTCAGCACCTTGAGCGACTGTCCTGGACGCTTGGCCGCCTCACATGCGGATTTCGTATCGGTGAGGTCGGAGCGGGCCAGAAGGATAAGGCCGGACACCCCTGCCTGTGTGAAAGAGGTAGCGATCACTTTTCCGATGCCCCTCGATGCCCCCGTAATGAGGACAACTTTGTCCTTGAGATTGGCTTTGGCCGGGTCAATGGCAGGGTAAGTGTCAAATCGCCGAGTGGGCACAAATTGAACTCCTGGAAATAGCTTGGTCACTCAGAAGTTATTAGTATTACAATAAAGCGAGGGCGAACCGAGATCAGGTGAATCCATCTTCCGACAGATGCGTCAAACTTTTCCCCAAAGGCATGACTCTCACTCTTCTTATACTTAGCTACATTCATATCATAATCGATAGGCCTCCAACAGATAAAACATAGTCTCATAAAACACGTATGAGGGCTTGTGTGAAACCTATAGGATGAAACATGCATCATTGCAAGCAATGTCCAAAGGCCGGGCCATCTGTGAGTTGCTTCGTTTGCCGAGGCATGCCCGGCCAGTTATCGCTTCAATTCTATTGCTCTATTCAAAAGCGAGCTTTCTGGGACGAGTGAGCGTATTGCTCTGTTCTCTGAGGCTCGCCAACGGTGCACTTGCAGACGAAAGTCGACAGCCGAACATGGAGAAAAGGCCATTCGGTCGCTGGCAAGTCGCTGGAGACAGCATTTCTTGACCATGTTCGGAGCTCAAATACGTTATTCAACACCACGGAAACATCCGCTGAACATGAATTACCAGCCAATCAACGACTGCCGATCACTTTTCCTAAGCTAACAGTATCCTAGCCCTCCATCGCATCTACAACCTCGTCACAGACCACGCAAACCACCAAGCTTTAAATCCATGTTTTGCACCTCTCTCCGTCAGTTTTGTGGTGACTTTCACGGTACCCTTGGCGAAGACATCACCATCCCACAACTCAGTCCAGCTCTCTGGCGAATGTCCGAACATTTCTGCCCAGCTGATAGTGGAATCTCCTTGCTCGCCACGAAGACCTTTCTTTGGGCATGCGCTGTGACCACCAAAAATTACAGAACCAGGAATGGGCGAGAGTAAACCGCCGAGCGCGCGCGCGAGTTGAGCCTGTTGTGGCTC